TTCCTTCCTTCCTTCCTTCCTTCCTTCCTTCCTTCCTTCGCATGGGAATTCCAACCTGACAATGAAGGGGCAGCGGCTTTGCTGCAGGACTTTCTTCTCCATCAGAACATGGTCCTGCTGACGCTTCTGCACCACGTGGTCCTTCCTCAGGCGCTTGAGGGCAAAGAAATAGTCTTGGCCCTCCACTGTGCTTCGGACCTGTGGGAGAAGGAAAGTGGCACAGAGGCTCTCACTCCAGTGATCCAAAGATCAAGGTGCCTTCAAACCCAGCTGTTTGTGGCCTCCTCTTGGTGGGCAAAGGGGAGATCTAAGTTTGGGAAGATGAAACAGGTGGGGCAGAGAGGTTTTTTCCGGGAGTGGGAGTTCTCACCTTATTCTGTCCTCCAGAAGGATGCTACCTGTTGGAAGGAAAGCGGTGGCTATCCCACTTCCACTTGCCTGGACAGTAAAGGGGCAACTAAGACCATTTCTTCACTTGCCATTTCCATGGCACAAGAATATCATGTCAGCCTTAATATTCTCCCTTCAGTTCATGACAGTGGCCATATTTTGAGCCTAGCCCAAGATTTAAACATCTTGTGCCAATACTTCTCATACCACAAGCCCACAATCTTTTTTTCCTGCTTAAGCTATCACAGACCTAGGTTTGTAACTTCATCACACTACTATACTGCCCTTTTGGGGAAGATGTGTTCATGTGACCAGATCAGCCTTTATCAGTTATTGGTAGATTCCCAGAGGGGCTGGCTCTATCTTAGGAGCAGGATGGGAAATTCATGTAATTAGCTTCTTCAAAATATTCCTCCACTACCAATGAGAATACTTCATTTTGTTAACTAGGTAGGACAGTAATGAAAGTCATCAAGTCTTTATCCCCAAAAGCCATAAGGAACATATTTCTCATTCCACTACCAGCTCCCTCCCAAGTAAGCTGTCCCCCCATTGTCAAAAAAGCATCCTCACTGTGCTGCAGATATGGGAAAAATGCAGGAGTAGCAGACTCTCAAGGTATTCCTTAAAAGGCCAGCAGGAAGCAAGCTCCTGGCATAGGCCAGTAGGAGTGGGGAGATGAGCGAAGCCTAACTAGCAGATCCAAGGTGTTCTTCTGAGAGCCTTCTCTCCAAATGCTCTTGGAGACACATCTGTCACTTGTTCTTGAGATTGCAGGCTCTTATGTGATGACCACTCTCATGTGCAATAGTTCTGCATATGAGAATATATATTTGTATATAGTGTGTGTGCGTGTATATGTGTGTGGTGGGGTAGCTATGTGTTCTGTTCATACAACTCAATCAGGTCAGTTAAAGACCTAACTGCTGCATTTGCACAGCATGTTAACCTTGGTTAATGTTGACTTCGTTAGGTTTTCTTATGTATTAGTTTTTGAAAACAGATATTCCACTCGCATTTTTCAGTTTGTTCAGTCACTGTTTCTGCCAAACTTTTTCTGATCCCCGTATTCACACACTCATCTATCTGCTAACTTAAACTTCCTAACAATCTTCTCCTTAGTTTTGCCACAGCATTGTTCAGAATGCTAGTGTGCTAGGAAGACTGTCTGGGTGGAATGGAAGCTTCCATAGGACTCATTTCTCCATAAGTACATAAAATAGTCTTGTTGGAGCCATCCAAGATTTATTTGGGGGAGATGGGTGGCATATACATTTAATAATAAATAAATTAATTAAATAAAATCTTAATCTGATTTTTTTTCTTTCTCAAAGTGGCCAGTCAAATGCCTCTGGAGTGCTCATAATTCTTGCAAATGGCATTTGGAGGCACACTGTACCTCACACAAAATCTTAAAGATGAATAGCTCTTGAGAGACTTGTCCTCCATGATTTATTTAATCTCCTTTTAAAGCTATCCAAATTAGTGGCCATCACAATCTTGGGAAATGAATTCAACTAGTCAATTATGCAATGTATGAAGAAATACTTTTTTTTTATCTGTTCTAAAGCTACTTCCAATTAGTTTCATTGGATGACCTTTGATCCTAATATATTGAGAGACTCTTCCCTATCCACTTTCTCCACACCATGGATGATTTTATACATCCTGATTATATCCACCCTCAGTTGCCTTTTTTCTAAGCTGAAGAGTTCTAAATGTTCTAGCCTTTTCTCATGAGGCAAGTTTCAAGAGTCTTGATCATTTTTGTTGCCTCATCTGGGCTTTTTCCACCTCTACTTTATCCCTTTTCAACAGTGGAGACCAGAACTTCACACAGTATTCCAGGTTAAGACATACATTCATAGATTTGTAGTATGCCATTTTATGGGAAACTGAGGCAAGACTGATAGTGATTAGATAGTTGACAACAACCTAAGATAATATAGTGATTATGAAGTTAGACTATGACTGGAGAGACTCAGGATCAGGTTCTTCCTCAACCATGGAAGCACACTGGGTCCCCTTGGGCCAGTTATTCTCTCTCAGCAAAACATACCTTGCCAGGTTCCTGTTGTGAGAAAAACTGGAGGTGGGAATAGTATATATACCATCCTGAGTTTTAGAAGGAAAAGTGTAATATAAAACTAACAGCATATTTCTGGTGTCAGGACTGAGACAGGCCACCTAAGCTGTGAGAGAAATCAAGCCAGATGCGCTTTAATCTACCCACTCACACCCAACCATTCTTTACCAGCTCAACAGTGCCAAAGCCACCAGTGCCCAAAATCACCGGCCTCCCTTGCTGCTCCCCATCCTCGTAGAAAACAGGTAGAAGATCCTGGAGTCGCACTGGAGTTGGGGGGCCCTCTAGGAAGGAACTTCTGGGAAGAGGAAAGAATGGAGGGGGGAAGAGAGACAGATTGCCCATCAAAGACAGGAAGATTCAAGATTTCCCAAGACCTGTGTCAGCAATCAATTCATCTGCCCCAGACAGCAAACAATCAGCCTGCTAAAAATGGACCAGGGGAGCTGCAGAGAAATTTATATTCTTCCTCCAACAGTCCGATATCAAAAATTCTCAGTGTTGGTGTAGAGACACACAATGTCCTTAATCTGAGGGATCAGGGCTAGATATTTATTCGAACTGTCCTCTACTTTCTTCTTGGTGCAATGTACAGTACAATGAGATTTTTTTTTTCTCCTTTGCTTATATGAACTGAAGTTAGTAACATAATAATCAGGCCTGTCTCAGGAAATCTCAAAACCAGAATCCCTTTTGGCATTATATTTTAGCTCATTAGATTTGTTACTTGAACAAAAAATTAGCCACCGGCTCATTTCAAAGATGGCATTATACTTGGAATCCAATGGGCTAGGTTCACACAGGACGCTAAAAACCTAACCAAGGATAACATGCTTGTGAACGCAGATGCTAGACTGCCAATTGTCCTTGTTCAACATGTTGTGTGAATGTAGCTGCAGAAAGGCCTTCCTTAGGACAGGGTTTTTAATTAATCACTTGATAGGCTCCATTCTCAAAGATTAACCTTACTTATTAGCAGCAGCCTAGCAAAATAAGAGCAACCCCCCCCCCACAACATACACACAGCCCCAGTCTTAGCAGCTGCTTGTTCCTCCCAGCAACCTCTTTTCTCCTTCCCAGAAATTAGCTGGATCTCGGCAGCTGCGTCCTCTTCTGCGGGGGCAGGTGTGTGCGATTGACCTAAATGCGACTTTGCATTCAATGTGAATGTTTTAAAAATGCAAATAGCAGCCACTAGGAAGGAGAATGGCTTTTCATTACCAGGAACAAAAGTATTGGGGAGGAAAAATCACAGCAGCGCAGCCCTTTCTTCTGAAAGGAAAGAGCAGCTGAAAAGGTACTAGTTTCCACAGCGGTGGCTCCAGTGGTCCGCGGCAGCCTCCCCACGTGCGCGGGCCAGAGCCTGCTCATTGTCTCAGCCCCCGCTTCCCACTGCGTGCTGACACTCTGCCTGTGTGCTGCCTCAGGCCCCACGTGCCCCACGGTCAGTGGATGGATCAGTGGCTGAAAACTGGTTCACTGAAGTGCGCAAGTAGCAATGTGAGTATTAATACTAAGCAGATCCAATGTTAGTGAACAAGTTCAGTTAGCAGCTGTGAATCTCATGTGCAGTGCTAAGTGGATGTGAGATCTCTTGCGCGCAACCAGAAAACAAAGTGCAAATAGGAACTGTTATGATGAATATCTAAAAATTAGCTTTCCTTGGGCTGGAGAATGACTTTCAACACCTTAATGCTTAGAGATTTCTAACATCCTGGATCAGCAAGTTCACGCTGTATGTTTTGTCCTTTTGGCATGTGGTACCTACATTTATTTAATTGATCAATGAGTCCTTTCTTTGGGATTAAAATTTTTGGAATAAAATTTCATTAGAAAAAACTTTTAAAAATGGAGGCGTACTTAACCCAACCCAACCATAATCCAAATTTTATTTGCCAAAAAAATGTGAACTCCCATGCTCTTAAGGACAAGAACATAGGGATTATTTATTTAATGGGGTGGTGCATGATCACAGTAAGTTTGAAAAATATTCTAATGGGAGGAAAGGGATATATTTCCCTCCTTGATTACAGGATCAAGATAAATTGTCATACATACTCAGGATATGAGTCTGCAATATACTAAACCTAAATCCTGTTTAGACTAACAAGATACAAACACGCTAAGAAAATAACTGGGTTCCTAAAACATGTTGAATCACAAACTACCCAAATCCCATTTTATCATAGTCTAGCGCAGTGTTTCTCAACCTTGGCCACTTTAAGGTGTGTGGACTTCAACTCCCAGAATTCCCCA